TTGTTTTAAAGCATATGTCTACCCTGGATACATGATTTAAAACAGGTTGCCCACTTCCCACGCACTTTGTTTTGAAACAAAAGTGATTTTTCCCTCTGCTGCCACACCAACATATTTTGGCCACAGTGGCAAGAAGCCTAGTCCTGACTCTATTTCAAGGGCACCTTGTTCAGAGGGACTGAAGCTGCCCATCCCTTGGCCAGGTAGATTCTGGACTCAGAAAATCTTGCGATTCTACAACACACATCTTAAATTATTAAACAAGAAGTGCTTTCAAAAACTCACTTTACACTGTTCAGTTATGCCTTAACAATGGCAAGATCCTAAGTGTGTATGCTTGCTGTCTAAATTTAAAACATATTAGCAAACCATAGTGATTCTAATCTGAAAAGGATAGACTATGCAAGGTTGGAGTCAGCCCATACTTGATCCCTGGCATACCTGCCTGATGAAGTGTTCTTTTTTAACATGCCTGGAGATATACTTGATGGAATCCGCAGCCTTTTCCAAAAACGCGATCACAATTTTTTCTCCATCTTTGAACTGTTTGTGTTTATGTTTTCTTGCCATCTTTTGTTTCAGCGTTCCTTCAGGCTCGGAAAATGAATAGCGATCGACATGCCCTTTCATGCAGAGCAACCTTGGAAGTTTTTGAAGGAAAAGTCTTTTCACCCAGGGAGCCATCGGATGGTAGGTTGAGGAAGAGCGATGGTGCACATTAATTACAAAAACAGTTACGATGATGGAAAGGGTTACAAAAATCATGATGAACAACAAATACTCGCCAATCAAGGGTATGACTTTGGAAGAGGAAGGGATGATTTCTTCAATGACTAGGAGAAAAACAGTGAGGGAGACCAGAACAGAGGTTGAGAGGGAAAGTTTCTCACCCTCATCGGAAGGCAAGTAAAAAACCAGCACCGTTAAAAAAGACAACCCAAGGCATGGGATTATTAAGAAGAGAGTGTAAAAGAGTGGCAGGCGTCTCAAAACAAAAGAGTAGGTAATGAAAGGGTAGGAATACAGTCCGTCTTTTCGATTTCCCTTCATTCCCTTTGCATTTAGAATTTCCCATTCCCCATTATCAAAGAAATCTGTCCTGTCCACATTTTCGTCTACTAGGATTAAGTCAACCATATTGCCATCGTACGTCCATGATCCGAATTTCATGGAGCAGTTCTGCCTATCAAATGGGAAGAAGGTCACGTCCATAGTGCAGGAACTTTTGTAACTGGCTGGAGGAGTCCAGACTACTATCCCGTTGTATTTGACAATTGCTTTTGTCATCAGTGAACCTTCAAAGCGCCCATCAGCACTGGAATAGGGAGGCAGGAAGAATAAAAAGTTTTTTGAATATGTTTTTGAATACTGGCAACTGCCAAGATATCTTAACATTATGAACATTCTTTCCTTAGCTTTTGCAAGTGGTTTGAGTGTTGGACTGCAACTCTAGGGACCAGCATTCAAATCCCCACTCAGCCATGGAAATCCACTAGGTGACCTTGAAGTCACACTATCTCAGCCTCAGAGGAAGGCAAAGGCAACCCCCCACCCCCAAACAAATCTTGCCAAGAAGACCCCATGGGAGCTTCATCTTAGGATCACCATAAATCAGAAACATTTAAAGACACACCACAACAAGCAGCAGCTTTGGGAATGGCAGACAGGCATCCAGTTATAAACAATTATAAACCACTCCCAGGCTATGGAACGGCCTGCCGGACGAGATCCGTCTCAT